ATATTACTTATGCACTGCTGAGTGTTTCCTGGGGTTATACTTATAAATTTCTCATCTATTCAGATTAAACATTGAGATTTTTTATCCAATAATACTAAAAAACCCCCCACATATTTATATTATGTTACTTCATATCCTGCAATTTATTTAAAGTTGTGATGCATTTATTTCATGATGTATAATCAATATAAAATCTAGACGTTTTGCACTCAAACTTAAATTAACTTTTTTAAATGTTATTTTTTAATTCATCAGCAATCATGTAAAATCTTAATATGAGCTAGAGATGCACCAGTCTATCTCTTATTTTCCCATTTTTGTCTTGATTGGTTTTATTTGGTGATCAGCAGGTCAAATAAATAATTAATAAATACAATTTTCAAAAGAAAACAAAAACAAAAATCAGAGTTGCTCAAAGTCATATGCAACAAGTTAGACATTGAAGGAAATCTTGAAATGCGTACTGGCCAGGAAATATTAATCAGTACATTTATAATTCCCACTAACAATAACCGAATTATTGTCCCAATCTGTGAATGATTACAAGTTTTGTTATTTTTAAATCCACACAGCAAATTTAGGAACTCTTCACTCTCCTACCCCACTTTTCTAAAGCAATTCTTCTCAGTCGTCCTCCAAGGAAAACGGTGCATGTGATTAAAACTCTTCCCTGCCAATTAATTCATGATTTTATAAATATACAAGCGTACTTTCAAACTGGAACCAGATCATCCGACAGAGTCCTCGATTGCCACAATTTTCATGCACTTCTGTGAAATAAACCGAAGCTGCTGACATGTGTTTTCCCATCTAAGCAACGGCACACGGGATGATGTGTCAGTAAATCTATCATGAATGAAACTGAGATCAGGGCTGAGTTTAAGGAATAACATGAGACATTTGAAAAACGTCGTCTAGATGTGCCTTTTGTGAAATTTTACCCCGTTGTCCCACTAATCTGGCTTAGTTAAAGGTGTTCAAATGCACGAGGACAAACTCTTACCATTCTAAGATATCTTCTGATTTTGAGTGAATGCTTCCTCACAGGCATGAAAAAAAAGTAGCCTGTTGCATAATCTGGTTGCATAATTTTTTTTTTTTTGGCAAACTGCAACTAGGACGATCAGGATTTATTCATTATGTGATAAAACCTGCAATTATCCAAGTCAAATGTTATCCTTCATCCATCTTAAATGTTTCAAACACATTTTTTTTTCTGCTGAAGGAAGAAAAATCACAAAGATTTTGTGATGTTCACAAAATCATTGCAGCTAATTACAGATTGTCAAATTTTCCTGTTTTTGACCACATTATGAGTCAAGACATTTACTGCATGTGCACTTGATGATGCTGTAATGCTGTCCTATGTGTTCATGAGGTATGTTCACAAAATCATTACATGACATCAGCAGATGCACCATATCTTTTCACCTTCCGTCTGGTTTTAATGTCAAATTTATTTATATAGCACTTTAAAACAGGTATAAAACTGCACCAAAGTGCTGTACAAGAACGACAACATAAATGACAAAACAGAACACAAAACAATACATCAATTAAATGCCAAAGAGTAAGAATGAGTTTTAAGAAGTGATTTAAAATGATCCAGGCTGTGGGGAGATCTAATCTGGAAAGGTAAGTTATTCCATAAAACAGGAGCAGCAACAGAAAAAGCTTGATCTCCTTTCAACACTCCGGTCAAACACTCCGGTCTGTTACACATGGCTTCCATCCAGAAATCTTCACCATTCCTGGCATGTCGGCTGTGAAATTACAATTATATATTTTTGGTTGAAATGAGAATTAGACAAATATCTGTTCAAACGCATTCACACCTATCATGTAAATTTATCACGTTTTAGAGCTACAGAATAATTTAGTGAGTCTAACACCCGTTTCCCAGTTGTCCATTTCAGCCTCTTCTTTTCCTTGACAAACCTAGTAAAAGGTGCAAAAATGAATTCACCTTTTCAAACAATTCAGGTCAAAAATGGGGAAAAAAAGGTGGAAAAGCTCTCATTATATAACAGTATATATATTTTTTGCTCTACAATATCTCAAATATCAAAAATTGTGATCCTTTTCCGGAAAGATTTGCTTATTTTTAAACCTTCTGGCTGTCTGTCATCATGGAACCATCTGCGTCGCTAATGCCACACTTAATCTGTTCAAACAGGTGTTTCTCTGGTATGCCCAGCTGCGTTTATGTAATGACGGACCATTCAAATATGCAGCGCGAAGGTGCAGAACATTGAGGCGACAGTAAATCAGATTTGGTCCCATTCGGCAGCCCTCATGGGGCACGGTGAGCTTTGATGAGCGGTTTGGACCTTTGCCAGACAGGAATATTCTCAAAGAGAGAAGTGTGAGAAGAAAGAAATGTCATTTCACTTTATCACAAACTGCACTGTGAGACACAGTCAGGCATGTCTTCAGTGCGCTGTGAATTATTCATGTGGAGTGTTGAACAGCACTCCTCCTGCCTCTCTTTCGCTCACTGTCTTTATTTTAGAACCGCCTGCTTCCTTCTCTTTACTCGGAGCGAAACATGAAATTGCAAAGCGCAGACTTTACTGAATGCCTTCAACCTTTCACGCCGGCGTGTTTACGATGCGCTTAACGTTTTTAAATGATAACACGGGGCATGTATTTTGTGTCATTTGTACTGAGGAAGAGAAGGAGCTTCAGAGACGGTATTGACTCAGAGAGAATGAAGGAAATGTGACTTATGACCCAATGACGTTCACGTGTTTCTGAGTCTTAACTCAATTAGGAGAATTCTAGTGGTGAGTCACATCAACTCTCCTTTTAAACAGTCAGCAGAAATGCAGGAAATCTTGTTGGTACATCATCCACAGAGATCATCTATTGGCATTTAAGAACGCAGCAGGATTATGCAAGGTTATGCTATTTTGTGGGACTATAAAGTCAACAAACAATGTTTGATTAGCTCTTGTCTGACTGCTGACCACTTTGACAAGTTAATGTTTAGCCCAGATATGATTTTTTGACTTAATATAAGATGTACATGTTATATTGCATTACAAGCCTGGCTGGCCACCAGCCTTTACTTGGGTCCCCGCTTATTTTTTAGTTTTTTGTTTTTTTAATGTTTGCATTTTTAAGACTTTATAGCCAGCATTCAAGCATTAATCTTACAATAACACATAATTATCAAGTGATATTTTCAAATTTCCTGTCAACTTTAAACACTTTTTAACTCAAAAACACAACTGGCAGCTGAATTAGGCCGCTGAGCAATAATTTATCAATAATGTTTTGTTGTTGTTTGTTGAGGGATTTGTTAATTCTACAGGTAAAGTAATTGTTAGCTCAAGGTGTGGCTTGTGAAATTGCACTGTTTCACTGAAAGTTGTGAATAAATAGGGACATTGCATGTAAATGTTTTAAGACATCAGATTGACCAAAAAAAAAAAACAAAAAACTGTTTCTGTACTGGGAATGGCCAATATTCATAAATGTCATATGACAATGTGTCTCTGATTTTGCACAGTGGGATGACCACAGAGTATATTTAATAAAAGTTTGCTCAAACGTGATAGTTCAGTTTTAACCAAGATGAAAAAAGATCAGAGGATCAGACATCAGAGCCAACTTCTGACTAACCTGAGCTTTACCTTTAAAATAATTTCCATATTTTTCCCTTTTCCAGCTGAACAAATATATGAACGGCTTTTGCTTTGATAAGGTCCACACTTGGCTTCGCTGCCTCTCCCACACAATCTCGCCAATTAGCTTGACTGCCTCCTTTTTTCCTGACTGGCAGTAATTGTAGACAAGAAGGTCAGAGACTCTGAGCTGAACTCACAGAGACATGTTCGTGTCCTTATCCATCACCTGGAACAACGTGTGAGGTAATTGGTTCCACGGTGAGTTGCACTTAATTGGTTTGCAGCTGTAGACGGTACAGGTATTTGAAGGCAGGCGCCCGGAGCTAACATTAGGACGACGGCGAGACGCGGGGAATCAAGGAGCTGAAAACTCTCTGGCTCAGACTGTGAGGGGAAAAAAGGCAGCCCTGAGCGGCGTTGTTCATCTGTTAATTTTGTGTTTCAGTGTCACTTCCGCTGATGTTTTTCATTTCTTTTTGAGCCCACTGGCCAGATAATATCCAAATGAGCTTGATAGGGTAGACGTTTGGGCGCACTGGGTTACGCAAGCGAGCAAACCAGCAAGCTGGAAAGATGTTCTAAAACCAACAGTAACAGCTGAGGCAGTGTTGGTGAGATTTCTGTCTTCTTGACTTAAAGATTGTTGCAGCAGACTGTCCAACTCATACATTTCTGCACACGTTTTACATCATACCATCTTCATAAGGAAATAATAATAAAACAAACAAAATTATACAACTTCCATCCTAGCTGACTTAAAATAGGACTCCATGTCAAACAGTTAAAAAAAAAAGAACTTAATTATCTTTTTATACAGGACTAATAAATATCTAGTTCCAGCTGTGGACATGCTGTACCCAAAATATGAACACATTAACAAAACTCCATTTTGACATTTAAGTGCTTTTCAAATGACAATTTTTTTTTATCCTCTTTGAGAGCTGCTTTAAAGCAAACCATCATCAGTGTGTTGATGTATCAATTTTAAGATTACTTGGTAAAACTGAGCCATCAATTTACCAAAAGCATTGCAAATAAAACCCAAGGAAGGAGCTGTGTAACCAAACACTGCACTGGTGAAACGAGTGAGCGAATGAAGGAATACATTTCTGAGCTCTTGCAAATGTTTGTTCTTGCATCAATCTGATACTAATCGCAAATTACACACAACAAGAATCTATTTTAAAAGGAGCACTGACAGTGACGAGCAAAGTCTGTCATTACTGTCTGCGGTGACTTCTTACTGTTCTGTCGATGCTTTATTGTCTATAATTATCATAATTATCTTGATGGCTATGATTTATATATTTAAGTATTTTTCTTTCTTTTTTTTTGTTGTTTTGTTTATTTATTTGCATGTCACCGCAGCGATGGATGGGCTGACCGTTACGAAGTGGTGGAGGGTTACGAGGAGGAGGCGGAGGGAGGCATCACCATGAAGCTGCAGTCGGAGGTCGTGAAGTCCTTCGACGACTACTACCTGAAGCTGCGTCTCGACAAGAACACCAGGAACCCCTGGTTCGCTGAGTTCTGGCAGTATCGATTCCAGTGTCGCCTTCCGGGGCATCCGCAGGAAAACAAGAACTACAAAAAAGTCTGCTCTGGTAGGTGGCAACAGAGAGAAGTTCAGATTTAGTTTCTGAACTACAACAAAGGGGGTTGCATTGAATTAGATTTGAAGTAAAGCAGGGGTCTGCAACTCCAGTTGCAATCGAGGATTGGAGTTGCTGACCCCTGATCTAAAGTGTCACTTTTTATGCTTTTTTCCCCCCTTGGAGCAGCTACATTTAAGCAGTAACTCTTAAAACAAAAGAACAATGACATCTTTTATTTTTCTCTTTCTGAATATTCTCTTCGTTTGCTTCTCGAAGGTGATCACGGTAAATTTTGTTCTTGACACAATCGACCACCACAGCATTCAGTTGATTCAGTTGCACCGCCTGCTTTTTTAAAATAATAATAGACGAAATGAAATCTTATGAATTTTACTGCTTCACACGTGTAGAGTCATTGTAGTCACGGCTGCTTTTCTGCATTGTCTGTGTCGACGTTTAAAATCAAACCTCCCGAAGATCTTCAAGGTGGTGAGTGTCAGGTTAATATTAATTTTTTTGTCACTTGCACATGGTTTATGTTTGATTCCTCAAAGGCGAGATGAGTTTGGCCAGTTTGAAAACAAGAATCTCTGAGGCTGTTATGATGCATACTGAGATTTTCAATGGTCAAACTGATATGTGAAGTACCAAGCTGCTTTTTTCGGAGTCAAATAAAAGTTTATGAAAAGAAAAAGAAAAAAAAAAAGGTCTGATTCATAGACTGCACTAATGAATGGCTCACACTGGCACCTATGTGGATCTAGAGCACATTGTGGTTTCTAGAGTGAATGCATGCATCTGACACAGAGCACAGTTCACCCGTTTGCCATACATCTAAACCACAATTTAGATGTATCATGAGGATAAAACAAGTCATAACAATTCTTAAATTTTATTAAATTAAATTAAAATAAAATTTGAATAAGGCTATTCCATTTCATTTTCCTTTAATTTAAATGCTTTATATTTTGGGATTTAAAAAAAACAAACATTTTATGCAGCAATTAGCATTTTACCCCAACTCCATTAATTGCTTTTCTGTCCCCTTTCCTCGAAATATGAGAGATTATGGTCCTTCAAATCAAAATATCTGCACACCTCTCTTGCTGATAAATGGCGACTACTGGAATCACACAACTGCATATGATTGTACGAGAGTAGATTACACAAAATGACCTTAAATGATCCGTTCTCAAAGTAAGCATCGATCACCCCTAGTGGAAGTAGAAACTGATGTATGGGTCTATTTAATTTTGAAAAAGTAAGTTATAAAATGCAACCCATCTCAAAGATTTCTAAACTTTTACCTTCAGAAACACAAAGAAACATTATTTGGATCCACCTGAAGAAATAGATGTATTTAAATTGTTTATGGGGTCTCTCATTTTTAGAGAAAATGCAACTGAAATTCAAACTTGTTCAACTACCTTTATTTCTGAAGTCGTTTCTCGTACAGTTACTACATCCTGCAAAACAAAACAAAAATCCATTTGAATTTAATTAGACTGATTAGTGTGTATGTTAACTCCTCTCAAAATATTCTCCTGAATGTTTCCCCAATCTGTTTCCTGTGGAAATTTGGATGAATATGTTGATGTTTACGATAGAGAAAGGACAATGGCTTCCAGTCCTGTTTACTTCATTTAAATCAGATTTCGCCACAGTTCTAAGGCTTGCACTTCATGACTTTTTTTTTTTTTTCTTTCAACAGGAAACGAGGGCCTGCATGAAAACTATGTTCAAGACAGTAAGATGGGCTTCGTCATCAACGCCATCTACGCTATGGCTCATGGCCTCCACGATATGCACGAGGAGCTGTGCCCGGGCCAGACGGGACTCTGTGAGGCGATGGATCCGATTGATGGCAGCAAGCTGCTGGACTACCTGCTCAAGACGTCCTTCAGAGGAGTGTCAGGGGAGGAAATTTACTTTGATGAGAACGGAGACACCCCAGGCAGGTGAGAAAAGGGAGGAGATGAGAAATGGAGCTTTCGTGCATAAGCACATACATGAGCGTTGGTCCTGAGCACACAGAGGGACGTAATTAGTTTGGACTGGAACAGATTCAGTGGACGGTCCACTGCGGCGGTTCACTTACATCTTTTCTTTTTTTTTTCTTTCCAGCACAATAGACACTGTTTGATAGTTGGAAAACAGAGCAGGGCCGTTTCAACAATAGTGCGAGGTTAGGTGATGCACATCCTGGTTCATTTTTAAAATGAGAACGCCGTGTACTCCTGAACGCACGCACACACCAACAAGGTCTCGCACTGCAAAACCAAAATTTTAACAGACAAAATGGTTGCGAGGCTGTTTAATCTCTCTAAATTACCTCCCACTCTTCGACTTCATCCTGCTCATACCAACATTTGTCTGCTATTCCTCCCTTTTTCCTCTCCGTATTTCCAGGTATGACATCATGAATCTCCAGAATGTGGGTGACGAACGCTTCGACTACATAAACGTAGGGTCCTGGCATGAAGGCATCCTTAACATCGACGACAACAAGCTGTGGATGAACAGCAGCGAGATGGTTCGCTCGGTCTGCAGCGACCCCTGCTCCAAGGGACAGATAAAGGTAGGGATTCAAATCATGCTTAGAGGGAATTCTGCAACCGTGACTAAACACCGTCAGCGATTTGTCAAAATAGTCTGAATGAAATCCATAGTCATTTAACAGCTGCAAATAGCTGTTGCAGCAGAGGAGGATGAGCTTGGAAGTCAGTCGCATTCTAATGATTTTATGAACGATTCTTGCTTTCTCAATCAGAGGCAGCCTACATCACATATCAAAAGCGATGGCAGACATTTTCTAGAAAGTCGCGTATGAGACTGCTGCTGCTGCTGCTACTGCAGATGACGTCTGATTTTTGTCAGATTATCTCTCACATTCCTGTTTTTCATGTCCAAAATCACTCAATATCTGCTTTACATAATAAACTTCTCAGGCCTTTTTTGAACATCCATACTTAGGCTAAGTCTGTAGTTGTGCAAGAGTTTATCTGTGGGAAACAATATAAACGGAGCTAAATATATATATATATATATATATATATATATATATATGTAATGAAGTCATGAAAACGCCATTCACCAATCGAGAAACCAGTAACAAAGATTACATTTTGTCAAGTGCCATCATCAAAAATCATTAATACACATAAAATATAAAATAAAATGTTGTCTTGCTTAAAACTAGCTAAATTTTAAGCTGGTGGTGCATCTCAATAAAATATACAATATTTACTCTTCCAGTATTCTGTACAAGAATATGTTATCAATATTTAGTAAATACTGATGGCATGAATAATTATATTAGATTTATTAAAGGAATAAATTCTAAGTTTTGACTACTTAATACAACCTGGTTTTAACAAGTAATCAATAATGTAACCTTAGAAAAGTTATTCCTGAATCATTTAATTTTAGATTATGCCACATACCGCACACATATTCCAGTGATACTGGGACATTTACCCTAACTGGACGAGGAGAAGGCCAGTTTGCCTCACTGAGTAATAATCAAACTGGTTCCGTGCCCAATTTCATGAAATGCCCCGACTGGCCTCTGCTGGGGATGAATAGTTTCTGTTGTACACTGAGCTGTCCTGAAGGGAGGGTTCAGACTCTCTCTGTTGGCTGTCCCATACTTCTTCCTCTGTCTGCTTTGTTTCTTGCCCCATTTATCACCCTGCTTTGCATATCACAGCGCTGGTAACAGCCTCTCTGGGAGCCCGATGTAAGAGAGCAGTTGGCCTTGTTTTCCAAACACTGTCTTTGACTCAAAAAAAAAAAATTAAAAAATAAAAATAAACACTAAAAAAATGCTTGACTTTGAAATTTTCCTTGATGCAAATTACAATTTTGTGCTTCTTAAAGTGTGCAGCGCTTTATGTCGTGATTGGATTAGCGTTGTGATTGGTTGAGACAATGCCTGTTCTCCGTCTGTACACAGGTGATAAGGAAAGGTGAAGTGAGCTGCTGTTGGATTTGCACGACCTGCAAGGACAATGAGTATGTTCAAGATGAGTTTACCTGCAAGGCCTGTGAGCTGGGATGGTGGCCCGACGAATATCTCGCAGGTAAGAAAATCTTGCTACAAACAATTTTTAAGCCAGATATGCACATGCACTGTACAAAAAGATGGGAAAAAAGGCTTTTTTTTCTCATTGTCTGACATTAGATCAGATTAACTGTTTCGATCAGTTGGGATTACTAATACAAAATGTATGTGTTTACTGCAAAATCTCAGATTTTTTTTTTGTAAATTCTCTTTAAATATCATTAGCATTTCATGGAATTTCCTTTTAAACTGTTAAAAATGTTGCCAAATAAATCATGCCAGATTTCTTCTGATGTCACCTTGACGTCAAACAAGGAAAATGTGTTTGAGGTGCTCCTTAAAATACACCCCGAGGTGGAACAGTTTGTCTCTGTTTTTTGCTGTTACAAAAATCATTTCGGCAATCGTGTCTGATCTAAAACAGGAAATATTTAGTTTAATTTCAATATAAGTGATAAAAGTTACTGAACAAATCCATAATAGTTCACCTGTTTCAGCTCCTGTCAGGCTAATCCTTTACCTGATGTGAATAATTAGGTAGATGGAATAAAATACAAACTATTTGATACTTTTACAGATCACTCTTCTTTCTGAAGGGTGATCCTCTCATTGCTTCCTCGGGCTCCCTGTTACTTAAAAAAGGTGATGTTGCTCGTTTCCTTGCTCCCTGCTCTTCACCTTGTATCTTGGTGGTTGTTTTGACAGCAATTTATGAAGTTGAGAGGAGCTCTCCATTCCCAGGTGTAAAATCCCATTACTGCCACGAGAAGCCTGGGAACACACTTCAGCAGTGTGTTGAGGAAGAAATTTCCCTTTCACTCTCATTATTTTGAGAGAAAAGAAAGGGAAAGGGGGGAGGAGGAGGGGTTTCTTTATTTTAGAATTTTAACTGAAAGTATCTAGAATGGCAAATTTAAGTTTTTATCTAAAAGAAAAATAGCATGTTCTCTCAGTGTTAAACAACGTGGACTACTTTTAAATGTCAGATTTCTGATGATTTGACATGTTAGGCGTCAGATCAAAAGTGGGCTTCACAGTGAAGTCATTTTAATGCTATTAGCAGAAGCACATCATTTATGGAGTGTTAAGCCGGGGAAGTCGAGGGATGTCAGTTTTTTTTTTCCTCCTCCAAATTAAGCTCTTCAATATTCCTCCGCATGCTAGATGACAAGCATGCAACTAGTGCAGTTAAAACGCACATATTCCTGTCTTGAAAAACCAAGTCGATGCCAGAGCACTATACCACTGCTGATAAAGACATTTGTCCAGGAACATGTGAGAATCTTTGCAGTGGCTGAAAAGAAACATGTCTTTCTACAATACATGCATGCTAATAACTCTTTGTACCTTAAATGTCTTTCAGGCTGCCAGCCCCTGCCTCTGAAGTATCTTGACTGGGCCGATGTGGAATCCATCGTCGCAGTTGTTTTCTCCTGCGTTGGCATCCTGATCACCTCCTTTGTCACCTTCATATTCATCCAGTACCGCGACACGCCTGTGGTTAAATCCTCCAGCAGGGAACTCTGTTATATCATCTTGGCAGGCATATTCTTGGGCTACATCTGTCCGTTCACATTAATCGCTCGTCCCACCGTCGCCTCCTGCTACCTGCAGAGACTCTTGGTAGGCCTCTCTTCTGCCATGTGCTACTCTGCTCTGGTGACTAAAACAAACCGAATTGCTCGTATTCTGGCTGGCAGCAAGAAGAAGATCTGCACCAGGAAACCGCGCTTCATGAGTGCCTGGGCCCAGGTCATCATTGCCTTTATGCTTATCAGCGTGCAGCTAACTCTTGAGATAACGCTCATCATTCTGGAGCCTCCCGAGCCCATCAAATCGTACCCAAGCATACGTGAGGTCTACCTCATCTGCAACACCAGCAACGTAGGCATGGTGGCGCCGCTGGGCTACAACGGCCTGCTTATCATGAGCTGCACCTACTATGCCTTCAAGACGAGGAACGTCCCTGCCAATTTCAATGAGGCCAAATATATTGCCTTTACAATGTACACTACCTGCATCATCTGGCTTGCCTTCGTGCCAATCTATTTCGGCTCCAACTACAAGATCATAACCACGTCTTTCTCCGTCAGCCTGAGTGTAACGGTAGCGCTGGGGTGCATGTTCACGCCCAAGATGTACATTATCATCGCCAAACCAGAGAGAAACGTCCGAAGCGCCTTCACCACATCTGACGTGGTGCGAATGCACGTCGGCGACGGGAAGTCTGCGGCTCAGTGCGGGAGCAACAGCTTCCTTAACATGTTCCGTCGGAAGAAGGCGATTTCCGGAAATGCCAAGTGAGTAATCTTTTTTTGATATTTGGGAAAATTGCATCATGTTCAGTAGCATGCATTCAAATTAGAAGATACTGGTGCCTTCCCCTTTGAGCTTGTAAGTCAGAATTTGCTTTCATTTATCTGAGACGCCCAGGAAGGGATCGACTGTCCAAGACATTTTCAAATCCCAGTTCTGACTTTAGAGGCAGAACTGAGGGATTTTCAGTATAATTCAACACCAAAATGAAATGAGAAAATTAGAAGTCTACCAACTATTTTTCCAAACGACATGGATTTGTGTAGTTCTTATAAAGTGCAGCCAAAGGGAAAAGTTTGCATGAACATCATGGACATAAATGTTATGAAACTACAAAACAGAAATACGTGCAGAGCAGTGTGCTTTTAAAAACATATTGTTTAGGCCCATCTGTAACAGAACTGCTCAGTGGCTGCTGTTTTATCAAGAACGCAACACTACGCTGGATGACTTCTCATGAAATTTGGCTTAGCATATTTGACATAAGCTACTTCAGGTAATGGCTTTGAGTTGAGTAGTCTTTTAGAAATTTCTCAAAGATAAATCTCTTAAAAGTAATAATCCTCTTTCTCAGATCTGCATTGAGCTCAATTTACTTTACCACTGCAGTGTTCATTGTTGGTTAATAACTTCTGTGAAACAAACTCTTATCTAATGAGTTGATTTACGGTCATTCAGTGGAAGTCAAAGAGACTTGGGAAGCTGACACATATGTTTGGAGTGGACAAATACAAATCTAAAAATCTACATTATTAATTCATAAGATTAATCCTACTTTATATTTCCCAATGAATTAAAAACAAATCAAGCCATGACATCCATGTTCATGATGTATGTATGTAAGCTTGTACGTGGAATAGTTTGAGTTCTTTTTGTAGGTCCTGTTATTGTTTTTACTCCATGAACTTGTTCACATTTTTTTTACGTTAGAACCACAAACTTCTATGTATTTTGGGAGAGATTTTATGTCACAGACCAACATGTAGTTGAATGAAACAGTGAAGTAGAAAGAAAAGGAAACATGGTTTTCCTGATCCTGATTCAGTCTAATTTACTCTGATACCCATAACAAAATCTAGGATGGCCATTTAGAACTCACCTAATTGGCAAATAAAGTCACAAACTACGGCACTCTGTGAAAACAACCAACTTGTGAAGGCCTCCAATAATCTTTTTAAAGCCCGCTTTTCAATTCGGGCTTTTTTTTTCTTTTTCTAAGGACGAATGAGAACAATCTTTTCTGGATAGGTGCAGCTATAACTGTAATAAAACGTGGCTCTACAAACTATTGTCACAAGAGGTGGGTGTGGAGATGAATGCCACAACTGTTGGATCTTTTCATTTTCAAGAATTATGAAAACAATGAATCGTTTTCCTTAAACTCCAGAATTAAGCAGTTCTTTCTGTTGGTCTGTCCCATTAAAAATCCAATAAAATCCATTTAGGGTTGTGGCTGTAATGCAACAAATTGTGAAAAAGTTTAGGGTGTGTGAAATCATATCAATTTGACTTTTGGTACTCTAGTCTTAGTAATGTGAAACTGATTTTTTTTTATAAATATTTATAAATGATTTCATAAGACACATCCCCCTCCCCCTGAGTTCTAAAGTATTAATGATGAAATTAACTTCAATTTATTATACTACACACACACACACACAAAAAAAATAAAAATAGACTGGTTTTACAGATTTGAAGCGAACTGGCCTTTCTTCATGTAAGTGATTATTTGAGAACAGATGTTACACAGTCAGTCAGAATTGCATGTAACTTTTTTGAGCTCCACAGCAGTGACGCGTGGACAGGTGACTGAAGTAAGGAGTGGGGCAGAGAATGAGACGGATCCTAAAATGTTTAGGTGTTGTCTCTAAATCCTTGCTATGCATCCTACCTAACATTAACCTTTACTCATCTACACAAGCACTGTAGTCTCAAGGCTGGCAACTGCTGTGGCAAGGGGGCTTATTTGTCTTCTTTACTGGAGGGCTGCACTGTCAGTGGAGCTGTTTTCATTTTTGACATTCAACGAAGTGGCTGTTCAGAAACTGCAATATATTAAAGAAAAAAGCAATGTGTGCTATTCAAATTCTTAATTCCTTAAACCATCCCCAGTTTTCTTTGCACTTTGCTTTGAAAACACGAGGGTTTCAATTTGAACAAAACTCTTCCTTAGTGCCTAAAAAAGGATGGGGAACAATAAGATGACATGTCCCACCTAACACTTAGCCCTAACAGCTGTCACACCAATATTAAGGTGTGTTTTATTTGTCCTGTTGATGCAGGGAAGAGGGAAAGCTGTACAGCCATCAATCTCTTCAATTGGGATTTTTTGGTGAACTTGCATTTCCGAGGTTAGTGCTTACCTTAGAGTCTGAGCAACCCCATCACTCTTCAATCAGAGTCAATGAAAATATTTGGTCAAATATTCCACTGCAAAATCTGACAGAAAACAAACGTGGCAGTTAATATCATTTATTTTTACATAAACAAGACTTGGACTGTTTGAAGTGCAAGACTTCTTGCAAAGAATTGGGTAGTGATGTACTCAACATAGCACATTAGAAATCGCAGTGCTTTAACATTTGTGACTTTTTCATTAGTGCATCTTGTAGCTCTTCAACAATCGCCCCGAACATGTTCTGTTTGTGGGTAATAGTGGTACTTTCCTCTCTCCTTTCATCACAAAACCTGAGTGGCATCCAACTAACGATTGCATGATTGTCCAAAACATTTTAGGTGGTGGTGTCAAAGGATGCACAGTTCAAGCTGGCAGATACAATCTTGAATTTAATCTTAGCTCACTGTTTCCTATCTGGTCATGCAACCAAAGATGAAATAAAAAAACCAAACATGAAGTCTAGATGTGAAGAATGGAAGTCCTGTCTGTAGTATACGTTTGTTGTTTCTGATGAGCTTCGTTTTTGAAAAGAGCATGCGTCGTGGCACCAAGGGTTAGAATCCACGGTGTTCAGCTGCATTTGGCAAATCCACGGATGTTCTTGGAAGGAAATATTCATCATCTCGGTCAACTCAGTGGTCTGACAATTATGAGCCACATTACTAAGAAAGTAGGGTAAATCATTTTCAATTTTAGCTTCGAGCATCCGTCACGTCGAAGTGAGAGAATCTTCATCAGTGCAAACTCAGCAGAGGATTGTGTGAGATTGTTCTTATTCGGTCACTGCTGTAATATCTGAGTCACATTTCCTTCAGTTCTGTGGCAGTGGAGTGTGAAAGCTGTAGCAATTCATGCTGGAGAATTATTTTTATTTGCAAGATATAAATCATCCAAATGGTTACAGCAAGTCTTCTTGTGGCCTCTTTCTTATAAGTGCCACTGTTATATTAAGATCTTAAAGCTTAAAGTGAAACAAATCCAGAGGAAGACCCTAGTGGGGCCCTGCAGATGACGAAATATGCACTGGCTTTGTGATAAAGCCCACTGCAGAGCTGGAGCTTTAAATTCATTCCTATAATGTCTCATAAAGCAGCATCTGTTAACGTTCTTATTACTTTAGGTACGTTAATGAGTTCACCTTTCCCTCTACATGCTGCAGGCTTCCAGTGTCAGAGGAAGCAGCTGCACCACTAAGCCATGACCATGCTTCATGGTGTTCTTTTCAGACTTCATTCTTTCTTCTTCAGAGACACCGGCCCTAGGTCCGCTTTTGGTTCATCTCTAATTCAGACAGAATATTTGCGTAGTTGTGAGCACAGACTTTTCTCGTATTTTTTGTTTAGTAATTTGTTTAGCATCTTGTAGTTTGGAGCCTCTCAGCGTTTAGTGGAAACTGAAACCTCAATTACTGCCACCACCTAGTCTTGCTGTTAGTCTTGTGCAGTCAGTTGAGGGTTTCTCACCAGCTGCCCGCTTATAGGTCTGGTAGATAATCATTATTGGCTTCATCTTTCTGCCAGATCCAGGTGGCGTAGCGACTACTACTTTAATTTTAAACTTGTGAAACATGAGTCCTTTGGAAGGTTTAGGAGTTTTACTTTCTTATTGGACCTCTTTCCTCGTTTGTGCAAGCTATGATCTCTTCTCAGATTGTTTTTTAAAGATTCTCCAGACTTATCCTCATCTCTGACATCCCATAAAACATTATTGAATATAAGAGACGAAGACCTTGATCTGTTGCATCAGATTTTCTAAAGTTTGCTCTGATGAAGAAGTATATTCGGGTGGTTGAATAATTTCATCCAAAAAAATTGCCTTTTATGTTGAATGATTCATAGGCCACATATAAATATTTTCAGAAACAAGAAAATTGTTCTCCTAAAAATGGTAGTCCAAAGTCCAAAGAAAAACTTTTTCAGACCTTTAGAAATTTGGACAAAATCTTGTTTACGACCACCTTGGCTACTTGGAAGCAAGATAGAGATTTGAAGACTTAAGATTCTTGAACAGCAAATTTTTAAGTGACTAGGATATTCTGCATTCTTTTTTTTTTTTAAATGTTGCATTCAGCTACAAAGCAGTTTGCCACTGGCGCATCACTCCCTCAATTATCTGGTCACTTCTGTGTTTTTGACACTGCAGCCTTCCAACGAGGAGACCTGCCGCCCTGCTGCTTTTGGTTTATCCTGAATTAACCTCACATTTAACTTTTCGCAGCATGTACACCCTCCCTGACCACCCCTCAAACTAATCACATTAGAGCCAGTCCAAGCTCATTCTGAGCTAAGCTATATGTCTTTGTCAGGCCAGTTCAGGGACAAAAAAATAAAATAAAAAATCTGTGCAAATGCATGCATCCTGTTTTATTAAAGCCAAAAAAAAAAAAAAAAAGAAGAAGGAATCGAGAAATGAGTTGGATGGCTCCTAATTCTTTAAATGAGGATCATAATGCTGTCTGCAGTGCATTATGAATCACTGTTTGTTGAGCCACTACGTGTAATGCTCCTAGCGGCTCACCAGTTAGCGCTCACAGCAAAGCTGTTAATGTCTAGTTATGTGGTTAAAAGTATTTTGACATGCTCCAGAAATGTTAAAATGCTATCACCCTGTTGTGGTATGTTGCTGCTGTTGTGTTTTGCTGTTTGTTTGTTTTTTTCTGCCTCCACCTCCTGGTTTCCTTTGATAGTAACTTGGGTCTTTATCTCATTCATAGTTCTAATGGCAAGTCTGTGTCATGGTCTGAATCAGGTCCCAGACACCCTCCGAGGGGGGGGAATGTGTGGCACAGACTGTCTGTGCATGTGAGGAAACAGGAAGCCGGCTCGAATCAGACAGCGGTCATCAGGCCCCTAACTAACACCCCCGACCCCCACAGTTGTGAGCCCTCCACCGGCAACCATGGCACAGACCCCCAACCTCCACAGGACACGCCTGGCACCAAGCCTCCGTGCAATAAGGCGGAAGACGACGACCAGGGGGATGCACAGCGCCCCCTCTGGACTCCGACTTGCTCGGAACAGACGCAACAAGGACTGGAATTTGATTTAGATGAGCCGGCTTCTAATTTGCCCTCCGACTTGACACGCCCCACCCACGAGTGCTTGCAGGAGGCGTTGTTGAACACGCACAGCTCTCACGTCCCTGCACTAAAAAGCCGCACTTCCTTTGAGCAAATTCCTGCCAATGAGCCTTTGAGCCTGACACCCTCTCAGTTTCCTTCAGACCCAAGACTGGGGGAATTTGAGGACGAAGGGTCTGAGGATGAGGAGCTGGACCTTTTGCACAGCTACATTTACGACGCCAAGGAGGAGGGGGAGGGGGATGAAGGAGAAGGTGAGGATTTAACTCCAAATAAGACCATTCTGGAAGATTCTCTGGCTCTGTCACCCCCCTCCCCTTTCAGAGACTCGCTGTGTTCAGGGGATTCGGCGAACGGCTCCCCCATCATCGATTCCATGCTCGGTAGCTCGGTCTACACTTCAAATATCCTCCAAAACTTTGCACACAGCTCCTCAACACTGTGAGAGCAGAGCCGGCAAAGTCAATAGACATTTCTTTAGAAACATCCAGATACAAAACAACTTTTCAAATTTTTCATTAAGTGATTTGCTAGCTTGAGTTTATTTCTTTTATTCGTAGGTGAGTTAAAAAAAAAAAGAGAAGCTTAAGGATAAATATATGAGGAATTATTTACTGTAAAAGTGCTTTTGGGAAAGGCTGTTATTGCACGTGTTTTTTTTTTTGTTTTTTTTTTTAATTTACAAGAAGGAAGAGTGCCAAAACCAATCAGAGGCTTGTGCTACGAAGCAGGTTTATTGAAGTAGCTTAGGCTTCCAGATACAATTTCTAAAGATGTGTGAATAAATTAAAATGACAGAGGTGACTGAACAGCAAAGCAGTGTCTTCTGTCTCTCTAAATTTGTTTCAATGAGATGCTGTTCATAAAGTGCATCCCACCAGAATTGATATTTATCTATATGTATAACACAGACTGAATCATCCAGAGTTTTTGCTTAAATATTAAAGAATCTTTAATTACATAATGTGACGTTGTAGATCCTAAATGACTGAAAATGAACTTGGACATTTACAATACCCCATTACCTGGAGTGTATGATTTTTAACTTGAATAGTATTTAGGGTAAAGTGTGTGGAACAATCGTTTTCTTAATATTTCAACTTTGTCTCAGGTGTCGATAACAGGAAGCACCTTCCCTGCAAACACTGGATATCCAACTTTTAAACATATTAAGCGAGTATTAAACATTCTTTAACACACATTTAATTTCTCACTTTTCAGCTACATGATCTTGCTTTTAAGATTAGTGGATCTCCTTTGGTCTGGCTTCAGGTACCACCAACAAACCTTAATCACAACACATGACCTAAATGATGTCAACTCCTCAACAATTTGGAATAGAAATATGCAATTTGGACCTTACATGGTAGAATGGGTTGATACAGTATCCCACAGTACACACACACACACAACAGGGCAAACATTTTCCCTTTAACACTAAATTACTTGCATTTTATTTAAAACCAACTTACTTGTTTGCCTTTCTGAAGCAAATTCAGCAGCTCAAACATGAATTTAAATTCCAACTATTCCAACTACTGAGAATGAATTTAAAAACAATTAAATCTTCAGTCCTCATCCACCATGCAAAAAATAAATGGTTTTAGACAGAGGACAAGACAGATTTACTTATACTGTAACATCCATACACATGACAATTTGAACGATTTAGAGGAAAATGAAATAGTTGAAGCAAAGAAAATTACAATAAAGTCTTAGGCTACATGTGAAGATTAAGTGCTATGAGGATCACATAAAGTGCAAATGGAAAATAGGTAAATACCTAAGACTTGCTAAAAAATGAATTGATAAATGACAAAGTCATCTATTTTCTTCTGGTTTTCAGTTTTGCATGTGGGGCATATTAAGATAATGCAATATGCAATGATAAATTTGTACTTTAGTGATGTGGCATTGATATCGATACGTTTATAAATCTTTGTGTTGAACATACTGAGCATTATTTCCTGCTTCTTCATTGTCGTTGATTCTCTGACACCAAATCTGTCAATCTTATAGGAAGGGCAGACTGACCAAGGGTTAGTTGATATAGTTGAGCTAAAACAAACAAAAAAAAAACCCTGCTTTGTAGTATCGGCCTCTTCTTTCAAGCCAAACAAAAACTGGAAATCATGATAGAAGACGTAACTTTGGTTTTGATGGTGCAAACAAAAGGTCTGTAAGAAAAACTGTTTTATTGAGAACATAGAGATGTAAGGGTACATACAAATCACAGTTTGGTTTGTACCTCACCTTTAACACCAGATGGGAGAACATTTTCATTATGGTGACATTGAAGGCAACAAAAGTTTATTTATTTTTTTTTTTAATATACAGTACACGTGAATACAAGCTTCTTGCAAATTTTCCATTTCCTATTTTTTATTTTAGTTTTCTAGGTTTTACTTTTCAGGGTTTGACTTGATTGGTATTTGAGCTCAAAACTTTTTTTTTTTTTTTTTTTTAGCAAATCTTAAAATAATTCTGAAATAATAATAATACTTCCATTTGGTAGCTTCATAATGCATATTTAACAGTTCCTTTGAGAGTTTAACAAATATAAATCAGTTGAAACTTATTTTCTTTTTAAAATATACTGGGTTATTCAAGGTTTTTTTTTTATTCTTTATACATTCGAATGAAACAAACAAACTGGACACATTGGAGTTTTAACTTCTCCATATTTCTCCAAAGTTGGAAAAAAAAAGCAATTTAATAACTTCTGAACTTTAAGATTACTTGGGAACCATGAACCTAATATTGTTCTTGCATTAAAATTAGAGGGAGGATCAGCACAACTTTTGGATAACCTTAGTTTCTACTATCTTATATATGCTGATGTGCTCGATGAAATGCTGATGAGGGAAACTGTAATGTGGCTTTATTATCTTACAAATCAATTAAAAAAGGAATATGGTTGGAGACACATACCAAAAATGATAAATATGAATGAATGTGTTGCTATTCTTACAAAAAGACAAGTTTCATGTCTTTGTTAGAATAAATGCATCTCATTCTTGTCTTGATCAGATGAGTAAAGAAATCTCAGCTGTGTTAAAGATATTCCTTTGTTAGTTTATGTAACCTCCAATTGTTTTGTCTTGAGACCTAAGCGAGACTTTAATATAACAAAGTATTAAGAAATGTGCCAAACATTGGTTACATACTAACTATTGAAAGGTCTCAAACACCAAAAAATAAATAAATAAATAAAAACTGCCATTCAGTTGAAGGCTTGAGCTGTATGATATACATATCATGTGCCAATCCCTGGTTTTAAATCTTTCATATAAATTATCCAATGAAAGTGAAAGTGTGATTGTAGATCATGGCATTGCTATTAATACAGTTTACACTAAATTATAGCCCTGGAAATGAGTTTAACTGGCTAGAAAGGTGATAAAAAAAATAAATAAATGTTTTTTTCCTTTTTATGCTGCGCTGGTATTTTCCTATGTTTTTCAAAGTTTTACTGTGTCATTGTATTTGAAACACAGTACAAGTTGTACAAGCTCTCCAAGTTTGTAATACTGTTAAAGCCATCAATTGCTTTTTTTCACACAGGTAGTATGTTTGTAATATGAATAAATGTTTATATATTTAGAATGTGAACAGAAAAAAAAAAAAATTTATACATTTTGAAACTGTCCGCAGACGCTGTGTGTTTGAATTTTTGGTAACTTTTAAGCTAATTTGAGTTAACTGTATCCTCTTGCTTTCTGTAATGGGATTATACATGTTTCAGTTTCGCTTAAATCTTGCTATAAACTTAAGTAGTTTAATTAAGACTAGATTTCTTACCCTTACTTTTTTAAATCTTTAAGATGGAAAATAATTTCAAAGTTAAAGGACTACATGGTTCATGCTGTAGTGCAACTGTATTGTATTTCCAAATGTTTTTAGTCAAAAATAGTGTAAGTTGTTTAATGAATTAAGCTGATGTAAAATATACGAGGTGCCACCTGTTTTAACACTGTTGAATCTAGAGTGAAATAGGCCTTCATGTTTTGAGTAAACTGGACATGAACAATGCTGTAAAAATAAAAATTATTTATATCTAGAAGTCTGGTCACTGCCCACAATTGCTTTCCAAATTGCTACAATTTACATATTTTAAACTGCTTATGCATATTCTATTTGAGCCATGTTTCCAACATTATGGTGTTAAATGTAACTCACGAGGTTAGTACAGTAGTCTATTTATTATTACATGGATATCTGCATTTAATCTTAATTATGGCAGGATTTGTCCTCCGTAAAAAGTTAACGTAAGTGAAGAAAAAAAAAACTGAGAAAACGGCTTTGATTTTATACCATCATGACAATTGCAGGGACTTGGGAAGTAGATATCCAAAAGCCATGATCCGATAAATTCGTATTTACATTTGTACACATGGCTCATACAGAATTTCCCAAACCTAACAGCTGCTGTGTCAACTCACACAGCCCCATGTATAGTCAAGTGTACTTACAACAAGGAAAAGTACACTGAATTTGGGCAGCATTAACTTCTTGATACATCTTCCTTAAAATATACCGTGGCATGTGGTCAAGATCCTTTAAAGGCTATGTTGTCTTTTTGTTACCAGGAACACAGAACTGTGTGAACCATGTTATCATTTGTGCATAAGGACAGTACAGAAAAAAAACAGAAAAAAAACATCCATTATAGAGGAGAAATAAAGAAATTATTAATATTAACTCATAAGTTCATTAAAGTGGGAGAAATATTAAAACAATAGGATTTGGCATTACTTTCAAATGTCTTTGTAAGAAGTTTTCAGTTTGCTTTATATCAATTTTTATAAACAGAAATGTGTATAACTTTCCTAAATGTTGCCTATTGATTCAGTAAATAAAAATAGCATTACGTTGAGGAGACGATTTGGCTTTAGTGACTGATTACCGGGGAGCAGAGAAGAGCAGAAAAGTGTCTCACTTATTATAATAAGCTGCAAAGGCTTATGGCACTCAATGCACAAGCATGTCAAACTTACTCGACATTTCCGGGTCCTGTGACTTATCAGGTGGTTTCTGTGTGGCAGAGGGAGGAGAAGAAGGAAGGAAGGAGGAGGAGAAAAACGGAGAATTAGAAAATAGTGGAAAAGGAGGGACGGAGGTGGGGGGACTCCCTGACCGGCCCAGCTCTCTGACCTGCCCAGTTCTCCTCGGCTCCTGTCAGCGTGAAAGCAGAAGTTGCTTAAAGTTTCGCTAACAGCTTTCAGTCTCAGCATGGCCGGAGGCTCGGTGTCAGAGTGTAAGGAGTATCTCTTCAAAGTGCTGGTCATCGGGGAATTGGGAGTGGGGAAGACCAGCATCATCAAACGCTATGTCCACCAGCTTTTCTCCCAGCACTACAGGGCGACGATCGGAGTCGACTTCGCTCTAAAAGTCATCAACTGGGACAGCAAAACGCTGGTTCGTCTGCAGCTGTGGGACATAGCAGGTAAGATATTTACTTCTTATTTCGTAAATTAGATTAAAACAGAATCATCTGGCTTGGAGTTGTTGTGTGGGAAAGAGTCCTGTGTCACTGAGGTTTCCTCTTTAGCAGATAGGTGTTAAGAGATTATTTGCGACTTGTTGACAGTTAACCCGTGAAATTATGCAATGTGTCACAGCCACGCTAAATCTGATATGCAAGGAGACAGAATGAAAAAAAACCCAAAACTGTTTTAATTCCGGTAGGCCGTGAGTTTAAAGACTCCAGATAGGAAATTCCCGCAGCCTTCATGCCTGCTTATTGTGTTTTCCACTTTATGATCACGGCAGCTCATAATTGTCAATGGAATGTAGGTCACGTTGTTATTACCGACTAAGCGCCGCCTCAGTGAGTTGGCTCCTTTCAGTTTTTTTTTATTTATTTTTTACATATCTTTTCTTAGAATAAAACCAGGGTTCTCAAACTGTGGTGCCCGTAAAACTGGCACCTGGGCTGTCTTGAGCGGTAATTTTTAGCTAATTATTTGTAATGTAGAGCCAATAACATAACAAATAAGTTGTCTAATCACACTGACCTGTGCTCAACTTCTCAAATGAGGAGAGCAATAGAGAAAAACGTCAGTGCTGATAGATGAAAAATATTTTTCTTTCGTTCTCTTTTTTTGTTGAACAAACTGCAAATATCCAAGTCCAGTTGCAGCGTAATTGTCTTTTCGTCTGTTCTTAAAAGAATGAGGGAGAAAGTTTTCTCTTTTAGTCTTTTTTTTTATTGTTAATGTCTGAAATTGCTACTATATCGCTTCATAACAAAGTCCAGGCATTGATTGGCTCCTTTAACTTGCAACAGCTACTTTACACCACAGTACTGTTCCTACACAGATAGGAACAGTTCATAAAGTAATATCAGTTAAATGAATGAATGACTGCTGTATCTGTCTAGGTATTATTAGGACAGATGTAATTAAGCAAGTGGTAAAATGTTTGAGAACCATTGGAATTAACTGTTTATGGGCTTGCTCAAGGATATAGTCATATTTTTCCTGCTGTGGTTTATTATTTTCAAACACAGCCAAATTATCATTGACTTATGATAACTTGTTGACTTTTAATTTTGGTTTCAACTTAAATAACCTTCTTTATTTAATGCTGCCAGACTTGGCCCGCTTGCCAACCTGTTGCATTCCAGCAGCTTGAGTAAGCAAGCTGAAAGGAGCAGGGTAAATGCAAGTTAACCCCTTACGAAGTCAGCCAGGCAACTGATAATGGCATCTCAATGCAAAAATAGCAGAGTTATCACAACAGTAAGAAAGCGACATGCTTGAAAAGACCGATGAATGAGGAAGTGAGCAAAGACGGCATGAAGCTTTCAATTCACTATAGCTGTAGCCAGGCAGGCGTTACCACAGGTCAGTCAGCATGAACAAAGATGGTGTCTGCATTGTTCCATGAAACCCTTTCCTTATTGTTATGCTGGATATGATTGTTTTAATCATTAAAAATATGTCTGACATCAAGGCTTTTGAAATTCCTTGGTTATAAACCCTCATGAGCATGCTGAAAGTCATGAGGCCGATTCATGCTAATTATCATTGTGTGTGGAAGATCAAGTGGTACAGGGCCTCTGAATGTGTATGTCTATTTTGGAAAAGCAAAATGTAATTTCTCCAGACTTAACAGTTTTTGTTGTACTTTTTTTTTTTACATTTTTAAATCTTTTATTTTTATAAATTCTAAAAAATAAAAGACGCTTGAGCCTTGAGCAAACAAATTTCTGTCTTTTAAGATACACTGTATACATTTAATTGAAAAACCAAACATTTGATCTATTCTGTAACAGTGATTATAGATAAATGGAATATAATTAAACAAGTGGTGCATGTTCATTTTTTTTTGTATTTTAGAAGTATCAACATCAGGGTTTCCCCCAGAAAACCTGCTAAGCCCGGTCGGGGCGCCAAGGCGGTCCACCGGCGGTCCACCGTATTAAAAGATGTTAAGTAGACAGGAAGTGTAAAAAAATTACTGGGTAATTACATGTTACTGGAAAACATCGCCAGTGAAATACTCTTTAAACCCACAACCAGCCTTAAAAACCGCAAATCAAAAAATACAATTAAAATGAATGTCAATTATTTGCACTTCTGTTTAATCCAAATTAAGTCAGTGGCTCCATAAAACCCCCCAGGGCTTCAGGGGCCCCGTAAATACTAATATTTTAACACAGACCTTTGAACACACACGCTTTCTGGAATGATGTTCACTGGTCAGATCAATCAAAGAGGGACTTTTGACCTTAGTAACAGAGGGCAGTGTTTGTTAATGACCTAATGCCTCAAAACGTCATGCTAACATGGTTGTGAAGATAATGCAGTTTTGCAGTGGTGTGCTGACTTAAGGTCTGGAGTGCTTGCTGTGATTAGTCCTTGAAAAAATTCTGCACTAAAACATTGCAGGATTACACTGACAGACCATCTAACTGTGCATCTAAAGCAACGATATAAACTGACCACAATTTAACAAAACACCAAGAAAGGATAACATGTAATTTTTTTATTCAAATAGGCTAATACTGTACTTTTGGAAATGTATTAAAGTAGAGTAGAGTCTGTTTACTTAATTAGATATTGGTCAAATCTCATTTGATTAAGCAGATATGTCATTTTTATAATTCTTTTAAAATATAAAAATAAATTAAAACTTTTAAATGATGGTTTCTTTTTAAAAAGAAAAATCCAAGCAGTTTTTATTTATTTATTTAAATTACAGTCCAATTTAACATACGGCAATATAGTGCATGAAAAGAATCAAAATAAAAGTTGCATGAGTATGTGATGCTGTACTTTTTGAACCTTTATCCTGACTGATACCTTTGTATGACAATATTCTTTTGATCTGTTGTACATCCTACGGATTCTAGGATTTTAGCTAAACAATGGAAATGTGCAAATTTGTGAAACGTTTGAACTCAGGAAGACTTAAAGTTAAGTGAAGTGCTTCAAAATTGTTACATCTGGAACACATTGCTGCAGATTTTTAATATCACAAAAGACGTATGTAAAGAATTCATAAAGGGCATTCAAGAAGGTATTTGGATTTGGCAGTACAGTTACAGCTCATACATTGTTTTGAATTGTTTTTTCCCAGTCAACAATTGTGAAAGAAATATCAGTGTTTGCACCGTAAATAATCTCAATTGAGTTTTTAAATGCCGCATTTGGTATGACATTATATTTTAAGTATTCATATTCTGTATTCCACTAATGAAAGTGACCGTGTATATTGTGACTGTTGAGCAGTATGTTCAAAGTTCCATATTTTTTTCCTGATATTGTGCAGCACAAAATTTTATAATAATCCTTAGGGTTAGATTATATGATTCCTGTAGCTTTGCACTAAGCTCTTGTGAGTGCTGGTATGATTCCAATAATGTGACTTATTGCCATTTTGGGTTTATTTCAAAACACAAGTCACATGAGGAGGTTTTTTTTAAAAATTATTTCTAGATGTGTTCCTCATGACAACATCTCCTTCTAGAGCTTCACTGGTTAGATTTAAAATCTAAAACTTTTTTTTCAAAACAGTTTTTTATCCTTTGGAAGGAAAAAATATGCCCTGCCTCTAGACATATTCTGTTTTACCCGCTCCCTCAATCAAACAAACCTCATATGCTGAGACAGATCGGGACAGATGGTTATAAAGGCTGCTGTTTTTATATATATATATATATATATATATATATATATATATATATATATATATATATATATATATATATATATATATATATATATATATATTCCATTGCTCATAGCGGTGACAGAAAGGGGGCGAACGTTTGGGTGCTGGATAGGTCGTCACAACAACTTGAGTTTCTGTCAGAAGCGGATTGGCAGTCCAGGCTGACGTTCAGACCCTCGCAGCTCAAGCTCAGTGAGTGTGCACGGCATCCGTGACTAAACATCAGGGTGGGCCGACTGTCTGTCACTGCAAATCAGGACCTAATCAGAAGATCTGCAAGAGAAAAAAAAACAAAAACATGATACTTTGCCTGATGTTTTTGTGGCGAGACAATGAATCATTTGCATACATTGAGAGAGCACCGATTTTTACTCCCAACTAAAAACAACTTGATGTTGCCCACATCCACAATAAAACTTGAGATGATTTAGAGAAAGTAATAAAAAAAAAAACTGAATGGGGGTGTAAGAGAGACAGCTTAAGGTAAATTAGATGAGTCATTAATGAATGGCCTGTAGGCGATTTGGTCATGCAGAAAAAGAAGGAAGGAGAATTTATCTTGGAAACAGAGAAAGCTATTTCTGAGTTGTGTATTTTTTTTTTTAAACAAGCACAACTGTGATTACAGTCCGTGTAGAATGATAGTAATCAGGGGCTTTTATAAGAGGTAGGAAATCAGTATGAAGCTGGAGAGTATCCCAGCCCCTTTTCAAACACAATTGCTACTTTCGCTGGGATGTTTTTAGCTTGCGGACAAGATGTGATTATCACTATGCTATATTGTAAAACGAGGATGCATCTTGTTGGGCAGAACTGGTAGACGATTGTATGGTCATCACCTGCAACGTGGGTCATTACTGTCTTCGGCGTTCACAACCAGTCACCTGATACCAGCTGACCTTTGTTCACACCTCTTAAAACATTGTGAACAACTGATCTCGACGCTGTTTATTCACTGTAAAGTTAAGGAATGTTATAACTTTAACACTTTAACTCAGCGATCTTAAATATGGACTAGAAGCTCCCACAGGAACCTACTGCAAAGATAACATATTCTGCATATAGGATATCCTTAATGCTTAATTTGCACTCCTATTTTCAACTTTAAGAGGGTCAGAGAGCAGGAAGGGCCGTAAAGGTTTGACGGAAGTTGTGTCTGAGCTCCTGTGCTAAAATGAGGCTATTGACCAATTACAAATTCTGTCAAATTGACAAGTTGAACTTATTCTAAATATAAGTTGTATTTGTAAAGGGTATTGTTGTATT